GAGGTTAAGCCCAGACAGACATGAGGTACCCAGAAAACACAGATGCAAAAATTTTCTTCAGAGTTTTCTCCAAGGGAACAAACGTAGCCACTGTTGAGTCTTGTTCTCCAGCTGATGCGGCATAAAATTTTCTCTCATTTCTTCAGTAACAAATACAGGAATGTCTTTTGCTGCAGTCAGACTATGCGTCTTCTGAGATAGCAAGCAAATGCGTTTAAAAGGTCTTGGGTGTGCAATGTCCAAAATTGCAATCTGAGAGGCAGTGTTAGAACTTAAGCAAGGCAGAGGTTTTAGAGACTACTCAAATGAAAACTTTAGTGAAGCATATAAAAATTCTGTTTTTCTATTATTCTCAATTGGTAATTGATGGCAACATTCCCTGGCAAAGACAGGTTTAACCATGTCATCTCCACGTCCAAACAGCCCAGCTACTATAGGAGGACCCCCCAAAAAAAGAGGGGAAAGACACACTTGAGTTCTGTGGTCTCTAGAACCTTTTTTTTAAATAAAAAAAGAAATCATAGCTTCAGTTGTACACCACTGTTTGAAGGGGTTTTCATCCAAATGAGAAACTCTACCCTTTGTCTCTAGTGGGATAGTCACCAGGTTTCCACATGCAACAGCTCCCGTGTCCTGGAGCATGTGACATCTGAGCCTGGAGGAGAGCGCAATGTGGCCCTGAGCCCAAGCCGCTGGGTCTCAGGCTAGATGGCATTTCTTGGCGTGCCGTTGTGGGCCAGTGCTTTCAGGCTCGGGGCACTTGTCTGGTGGCTGCAGCTCCTATGGGAGGTTACACCCACCTCAAAAACCTCATGAATAGCTTTACGGAAACAGTGGAAGTTGTAGTCTATTAAACCTTTTAGTTCAAAGCTTTCTTCCCTAAGAATGCAGACCAGTGCCAAAAATTTAGTCACTTCTTTTAAATAAAGGTCAGTTGTATTATTCAACTTGATAAATGCCATAGATTCTTTGTCATAAGCACTTCCACTTCCATCTTCCTTTAACCCATATATACAAGATACATCAATTACAACATCAATCATGTCACAGCAAAGATCATAAGATTGCATATCCACAGGGGAACTGTCTGTTGCAATGTAGATTTTGCTGACAACATCGAAGAGAAAAGCTTTTTCAATACCTGAGTTTGATATAAAGATATTTAATAGGTTTTCCAAGGTCAGCAGTTGTGGAATGAGTTTCTGTACCACCTTACTAAATGCTTCAAATATTGAATGGTCATAGATACTAGTCAAATAAAAGCTAAGATGAAGTTTTTCTAGTCCAGCATCTGCAAGATCATCATTGGCCCTTTGATGAATGTCCATCTGTGTTTCTATTTTGTGATCATCAGAAAGACCATCAACTTTGTGAATAAAAACCTCAAAATTCATGTCTGGGTTCACTTTGTAGGCTTTAGAAACGGTAATGTGAAGTCTTGTTAAAGCTTCCATGTAGTCATCCTGTGCATCAATGACATATATCAACGCTCTTGTTCCCCTGAAGATCATCTCATAATCAAATGTTGGGTCAAAAAAGTCCGTTTGTCCAGGAAAATCCCATATCTGGAAATTCACAAAGGAGCTATTGGAGATGTCATCTTTATAATTCTTGTTGGTACTTTCCAAAAAGAGGGTCTCATTGGGTGACATTTTATGAAATACCACCTTCTGGATGGAAGACTTGCCGCTGTGCCGGAGCCCCATGAGTAGGATCCTTGGCTTGGCGCTGTCAGCGCCCCCCGGGCCACAGCCTCCGCCGGCCCCGGCCCCAACTCCACCGCCCGCGACTGCCGCCTCCTCTTCCTCCTCCTCCACACTGTAGCCGAAGGCCTTTGGTAAAGAATCCGCCGCGCTGTAACTCCCGGTGAGGGGTGCATCCTCCGTCCCGTACGGCAGGGACATGGTGCTGGACCGCCACCGCCCGCGCCCTGACAGGCCAGGCCAGGCCGCCGCCTCCCCCGGCAGCCGCCACCACCATCC